GAGCAGGGAGCCCGATGCGGGACTCGATCCCGGGACTCCAGGATCATGACCTGAGCCGAAGGCAGTCGCTCAACCGACTGACCCACCCAGGCGCCCCGGTCTACATTATAGCTTAAATAACCCACCTGTTAATTATATTCCAGCTCTGTTCTATGCAATTTACCTCTACAATGCTGAATATTAAGAACTAAGGATTTAAAAAAAGAAACCAGAGAATTTCCATAAATTAATTCATTACTTAGAACTCGATGTTAGATACAAAACAAATCTTAACTAAAATTCTGTGTAAGGTGGCTACACCACATCAGTGAAAATCTGACTTCTAGAACAATAAAAACTGTTTAATTTCTTTCAAGTTATTAAGATAAACATGAATGACCATAATTAACACAATGTTACTTAATAAAAGGCATTCAAAGACTTGCTTTTTTCACAGGACAAGAATGGTTTGTAGCCTACTCTAATAATTTACATTTTTATAGAAGTTCTTCTGAAGTGAAAGTGCTCGTGAAGAGGCTCTCATCGACCTTATTGAATCTCACTTTGCAGACATTAACTTTATTCAGTGAGTACTGGTGAGTTTCTGCTCAGCTCAATTTGAGAGAGTAAGTTACTGAGGGTTAAAAAAAAAAGGCGCTACATATTACAATTAAAAAATGAGAAATCTCGGGGCGCCTGGTGGCTCAGCCGTTAAGTGTCTGCCTTCGGCTCGGGTCACAATCCCAGGGTCCTGGGATCGAGCCCCGCATCGGGCTTCCTGCTCAGCCGGGAGCCTGCTTCTCTCTCTCCCACTCCCCCTGCTTGTGTTCCCTCTCTCGCTGTGTCTCTGTCAAGTAAATAAATAAAATCTTTAACAAAAAAAAAAAAAAGAAATCTCTTTGTCCAAAATTGCCTTCACTGACTTGCCTTTTTGTCCTCAGCTTGTTAAGGAAAAGCCGTATAACAGCAGCTTTTGAACACACAGCAAAACTGTAGGCGCCCTCCAGCCTGGGAGCAGTACTGGCCTCCAGAAGAGCCCGTGTGATCCCCTCCTTTCAGGATGTGGATGAAGACAAAGTAACTACTCCCCCCACCCCCACCAGTAATCCGAGTGCTCCACTTTTAGCTAAGGGACACCGAAACTTTCAATCTCCCTTCCTACCATCTTACCTCTTAAAGCGAGGGGCCACACACCTAAACCGATGGCCAAACCTATCTCTGGTAAGTAAGGTGAGCATTCCTGCTTCCTTCACCTTTCCAGAACAGATCTGGAATTCCATTTTTATGAACGTTTCTGCAAAAATCACAACAAACTGGGTGCCTGGGTGGCTCAGTCGGTTAAGTGTCTGCCTTCAGCTCAGGTCATGATCCCAGGTCCTGGTATCGAGCCCCACATCGGGCTCCCTGCTCAGTGGGGAGTCTGCTTCTCCTTCTCCCTCTGCTTGTGCTCGCTCTCAAATAAATAAAATCTTAAAAAAAGAAAAATCACCACAAACTTATTGTGTGGCTGCCTCAGTTCTGGTCTTGGAAAGTGTGTCAGAAATCATGGTAAAAGGTCCAGGTTATTGCGACCCAGACAGGCAGGCAGTTCCACTCCAGTCCACACTGACACATGTGCAGAAAGAAAATGCAGAAATGTCAAAGGTGATTTTTTTTCTCATAGGAATTAGAGTAATATGGTATTTTCAGATAGTCCATGCCTTTTCCCCATAACCTGTAACATTTCTGGTTCACTTCCAGAAAAATGGGCCATATTTAAATTATGCTTAAATACAGGGGCGCCTGGGTGGCTCAGATGGTTAAGCATCTACCTTCGGCTCAGGTCATGATCCCAGGATCCTGGGATCGAGCCCTGTCTTGGGCTCCTGGCTCAGTGGGGAGCCTGCTTCTGCCTCTCTCCCTGCTCGTGCTCTCTCTCTGTGTCTCAAGTGAATATATAAAATCTTTCAAAAAAAAAAGTTATGCTTAAATACAAATGATCATGGTGGAATTATTTTTTTCTGGAATTAGAGGTTTTTGTTCTTTTTTAAAGTAAAACTCTACCACTCAACTGCTTCTCTACTTCCCTGATTTTTTTCTTTCTAACTTATGCAAGTAAGACGTGCTCCAGCTTTGCTGCAACAAGCAAAACAATCCTAGGATCTAAGTCCATAAAGCAAAAGTTGCCGGTCAGCCACCCTGCACCCCCAAAACCCCGAGGTGCCTGCCAGTGTGTCATCCTCCACCCCTCTGCCACGGTCTGCACACTTGTCTATGCAGTTGCTTCTTTTTAAAAAAGCAAACAAAACCGAAAACAAAACCAAAATGTATGGTAATACTCAGCAACCAGCTTTATCATTATGCAATAGACAAATAAATCTAAACTGAATATATGTTTTGAAAACTGTACATTTTATACTGAATAAACATTCCCTGATGGGCCCCTGGGTGGCTCAGTTGGTTAAGCGACTGCCTTCGGCTCAGGCCATGATCCTGGAGTCCCGGGATCGAGTCCCACATCGGGCTCCCTGCTCGGCGGGGAGTCTGCTTCTCCCTCTGACCCTCCTCCCTCTCATGCTCTCTGTCTCTCATTGTCTCTCTCGCAAATAAATAAAATCTTAAAAAAACAAAAACAAACAAACAAAACATTCCCTGATGCATTCAATCATTCCTCACTGGTGGTTAGTGAAACTTGCAGGGATTTTTATTTTTGTTTTTGTTTGCCACCAGGAACACTGCTGGTAATACTGCTCTTGAAACCAAATCCTTACTAACGATTGCTCGTATTTCCACAGGAGAGATTCTCCCATATGAGACTGACTGCCGGGTAATAGGGTGCACTTATTTTGAATGACTGCCAGACAATTCATGGCCCGACTAACAACGTATGAGTGCCCATTTCTCCACATCCTCACCAGCACTATAGAGTATAACTCTTATATTTTGCCAATTTGATTAGCGACAACAAATACCTGCTTACTGTTTTAACTGCCTTGTTTATGGCCATGATTTTCTGTGCGGCATCCTCCTTACCTTTCTCTTCTGGAGTCTGTCTTTTCCTTATGAGCTTCTAGGAGCTTTTTGTTATTTGGATTATTAACTCTGCCACATGCGTACCATTTTCCCTTTGGTTCATCAGTTGTCTTTGATTTTACTTTTGACTTTTCAAACATTCTCGTATTCACTGTTTTTTACCTTACTTCTTTCAAAACATCTCTACCCCCCCAAGGTTAGACAGATATTCTACTAATATTTTTCTAACAATTTTGCATTGTATTTTAAAATTTCAATCTTTAACCCATCTTGAACTTAGCTTGGTTTTCTTCCAGATGCACAATGAATGATACTAACATCATTCATTAGACAAATCATCATTTCCCTGTATGTGATATCAGATCTCACACACACTCGCCGCTGTTTCAGGCCTCTGTTCGTGTCCTTTTTTCTGTTTGTCCAATTCAGGGCTAATAGCATCAAATGTTGATCGCAACTGCTTCCTAGTTACTTTTGGTATCTGTTAATGCAAATCTCCTCTAACTATACTTGAGAAATTTTTTCTTGGCTATCATCAGACATATTTCTATATAAACTTAAAAATAATCTGATCCTTCATATTTTTTGGTCCTTCATTAGACTTTATTCCTCACATTTTCTACAGTAAGATCCGCAGCACTTACTTACGAACACACTACATACACGATAGTGATTGTCAGGACGGTTATAGTCAGAAACGTGCATCAAATGCATCCTGGATGCTTCATCCACGATCTCAGTGCCTTTGTAAACCTTCTGTTCACTGATTTCTTCACGGGGCCACCTCTTCTCATCCTGCAGCCCTGGCAGAGCGCATGTGTGCATGTCCCTGCACTGCTCTCACATCTGGCATTGTGCTAGTCTTGTTTACTCGGCATGTACTAGACCTAACTAAGTCAGTTATTCAATTAATAGCTGATGAATAACTGAATGAGTACCTTTGACTAGTCTTACCCTCTTAGATGTTCCTAAGACTTTCAAGAATATTTGCAATCAACCTTTAAATCAAAGTGCTCAAATAGTCTGAAAAGAGCCGGGGCTGCTGTTTGGAGTAAGCCTTTCCATTAAAAATGGATCTGCTTGTGTATCTATCCATTCCTCACACTAACCCTGTGGAGGAGACAGGATCACCCCCATCTGACCAGTGAGAAACTGAGGCTCACAGAGAACTAATGTGTCTGAGAAACAGGCTGATATATGCAATTCCAGACTGGTAAAAGAGCTGTTTTAGGCTTGGCCCGGAATCCTGAATATGTGGCTGCATTTCTCAGGACAGCCTCTGAAAGCTTATTTAGCATCCTGTTTGCCCCGTTCGTTTGTTCATGCATTCGTTCAGTGACCAAATACTTATGAAGAACCTACTAGTGCCAGGCGCTGTTCTGGATGCTGGGGATATAGTAGTAGTAAGTGAAAGGATAAAAAAAATCTCTGCCTTTCTGGAGCTTACACTCTAATGGGCAAATAACCAGAAACCACAAAATAACCTGATAGCTAACATCTGAGTATTAACTGTGCACTGTTCTATGTGCTTCACAGGAAATAATAAATTTAATCCTCATAGTGACCCTGTGAGACCGCTTCTAGTGTTATTTCCACTTTATAGATGGGGTAATTAAGGCACAAAAAGCAGCCAAGTCGCCCAAGATCACGTAGGTAATAATGAAGTGCAGTCACAGGATTTCAACTCATGCAAGTTCCAGATCTTAGGCACTTAAGTGCTACACTATATGCTTTCCCTAGAAAATGATTTTTGAAGCATTATTCAAGTATAATTAAACTACTTCATGGATTAAAGGTCTTTTTGTGGGCTGTTCTAAGATTTAACCAACATTCAAACCATTTTTTATGTAGAAAATGATAAACGTTTTACACCACCACCCCCAAAAAGGGAGGGGGACAAATATTCAGCACGACCAGAAATAGGTTTTCTGCCATTCCTTATGGCAAGGACCCCGATGATGGGAGAGAAGCGGCTGGAGTAGTACCATGACTCCGTGCTTCTGCTCTCTCGTGACATGGGATAATACTGCCAGCTACCTGGAAAGAAGGGGAGCGGGGCCTCTGGGGCATTCACTCCCTCCCCCGAGGCTGGCTGGCTACAGGCTGGGTGTTTTCAGAGGGAGAAGGAGCACTACCGGACAGCCCTGCTCATATTTGCAAAAGTAGTATGAAGTGGGCAGAACGAGGGCGCTGGAGTTCGGCTGCCCCGGGTTCAGACACTTCCGTGTCTGTCCTTGCAATGTGGACTTATCACTGGTACTCTCTCTCACAGGATGGCCGCGGGGACTGAGTGAGTCAGGGTTAGTGAAGCGCCCAGCACAGCACAAGGTAAGGAAAACAGACTCCACAAACACAGGTTTGCTCTGCTGTATGGCCCTATGCCAACGTGCACTGCTTCGTGACAGAAGCCTTCCCGCAGCGCCAGCGAGACAAGCTCGTGAGGCCGCCTCTGGGAGCTCTTCTATGCAGAAACCAGTGCAGCGAGTGAGTGGAAACCAGAAGTCCCGCTAAGTCCGATCTGGGGGATTTCTACAAGGACTCCAGAATCCTGACGGGACACAAGAGGTACTTATTAAGGAAGAGACAGAACTTAGGAATTACGAAAAGTATGGACATCAAAACAGAAAAATTCCTTGGTGAGCATAGCATAACATACAGAGAGGCCGAATCACTATGTTGTACACCTGAAACTAGCATATTGTGGTGTGTCCACTACACTCGAATAAAAAAATTAAAACAAACAAAACCCATAAAAATTCCAGAAGCCACAGCTTGTTAATACCCAAGACAACTTCAGGGTTTTTACATGATTATCTGTGGTGAATGTCCGTTGCCATTTTTTGGGCAACCCCACTCTGGCACTGTGTGTGCGTGTGTGTGCGTGTGTGTGTGTGCGTGCGCGCGCACACACACACATGTGCGTTAGTTCCCATTCTCTCTTTAGGCACATTGGTATTCTGACCAACTCAGAAAACAATAAGCTGGTAGTAAGATTTTAAAGGCTGAGGTGCCAAGGTCCCTAAAGAGCTCTTCATCTTTGGCTGCTGACTCACGCCGCGCCGGGTGCAAGGCTACGGAACACAGAGGACGACCCCTGCGTGCAAATGAGGAGGAAGTGACCTCAGCTCATGCCACAACCACCTTACTCAATACTCTACCTTTCGCAAGTGTAACACTCGCAGAACTCATTATTTTCTCCAAAAAACCCGTCTCCGTAATAACAAGAAATCTCTTCTCCAGGTTCAATGTCTCTCAGGGCCTTCACACACGCCGTATCTCGACCAGTCGACACAAACTGAAATACAATCGACTTATTAAGAAACTCATACATGAGGCAGAAACAAAACACTTGAAATAAAAAAATGTCTCCACTTACCTTGCAGTTAGGTCTGCAATCTGAAAAATGTCCAAAAGATAAAGTCAATTAACTGTAGATAAGATCTGAAACACGAACAATTACAGAAATCTGAAATAAGCTTTCCACATAATTTTACAACTTTTGATAGAAGTTTAGGTCTCGAGTTCAACTACAGGATTATTTATTTAATAAGTTGGTGGGGAAAGATCAAGAGGTTCCATCTCCAACCTCCTGTTAAGGGAGACGAGGTTTGACGGTCTGACAAGGCCATGCTAAGTCTTAGCAGTCCTGCCCGCCACTCGCGCCCGCCCGAGAAGCACAGCTTACCATGGTTTATAAAGGCGGCGGGGCCGAGCCAGAGCTGAGCACAGTTTTTCCTTGTGGAATACATGACACTGAAGTCGTTTTCTCCGTGTCTAAGTAGCATGTTCTCCTCAATTTCTGAAAGTTCGGCAATACAACCCACCAGTAATTCTATTTTGTCATTTCGTTTCCTATTTAAAATATGTCATGTTAAAAATTACTAGTAATTATAAGTAACAAGGCTTCTTTTAATAAAATAAGCCTGTCCAATCAATACCAGGAATTGAGAAAGCCTAGCTGTGTGTCTATCAGCTGAGCCCCTGGGACCTCCACCGGGCTATGTCCTCGCCCTCCCCGGAAGCCCCACAGCCTCGAGCCACGGCTGCCTGCCTAGCTGCCTCTTCGCTACGAGAGGCCAGAAGCTGCGCTAACCTCTGTCTCTGAATCCCCTGCAGCACGCAGTGTCATGTTTTGCAGGCAGGAAGGATGCAAATACCCGCTGCCCTCAATTCAACTTGCTGACAGTGGATGAAGGAGACAGAGACATAATAAAATTTAAAAAAATAAATAAATTAAAATAAAATAAATAAATTAAAAGAAAAAAAGGGAGACAGAGACAAGCAGGAGGAAAAAGTCACAGGGACCCAGGAATGGGATGCCACCCTCTAGAGCAGCACCATCCAAGAGAAATGTAATGGAAGCCAAACACGGAATCCTCAGCGTTCTAGCAGCCACATTAAGAAAGTAAAGGAAAAACCAGGCGAAATTACTTCTAGTCATATATTTTAACCCAATATACCCCCAATCCTATTCCAGCAGAAATGTTAATGAGGACTACAGTTTAGTGTAGCATCTGGCACATAAACCACATGGACAACACTTCCCAGTTCACACTGAGCCACGAGCGGCTGGTAACCACCGCACTGGACAGCCCAGCCCTAGAAGACAAGACCCCAAAGCTCTACATCCACCGACAACACAGGGAGCCAGGGGAGCTGGGGAGCAGGCTCGATATATTCCCATGTACACTCACAAGCACACATCTATCCCAGAGGCCTGGGCGTGCTGCTCTTTGGCCATCCCATTTTCAGGTACCGGATTCTAATATTTTTGCTATAAAAAATACTGAGGGTATTGAGGGTAGCTTATGAGAGGGGCAACATGTTCCTTCTTCTGAGAGATAAGGTAGGAACAGGCATCAGAGGAAAAATATAATCCAATATTCTCTCTCATGAATGGCTTTCATCCCTCCTACCTGGGCTCCACTTCACTACCCTTATTTAAATGGGCACATCTATGTCTGTGTATATATTTAGGCAGGCAACACAGAAGAAAATTTCCACCTGTGAAATTCCTAGGATCATTAAGACTTCACAGCCCACCTTCCTCTAGGCCAGCAGGAGACGAACTCTCGAAGCCAGGTTCTCCAGCCCTGGCGCCCACATGCTTCCAGCAGCCTCGTCACCGAGCCGCACTCAGACTCAAAGCACGGTGGCTTAGGGACAGATCTGGTTCAACTCCGATTTCTCATTTCACTGTCCTGACCCAGGTCCCTGGGCCAAGTCACTGGCCCTGCAATGGCTCCTTTAGGGTGAGCCTGGCTTCACTCCTTCCCACAACTCTCTTAGCACTTCCACAGTTATTTACGAGAGAACTTTAACTAAGATGACATGACGGGTTATACTAGTATAATAGTTACCACTCTTTTGTTGCAACGATTTTGGCTCCATTTTGTTCGGATGAGTATCTATTACAAGGCAGTATTTCAAATCCACTGTCAGTTGCAAACATTCGCAAGTAAATAAATACCTAAAACAAACAAACAAAAAAAGAATATTAACTTTGTATTGTTTATCCAGTTAGACTTGCTCAGAATTATAAAAGCAAACCATCACCAACAACATAAAACATTAAAGATCATTAAGTAACAAACTCTGTTGTTACTTTAAAATTTCACATATTTGAGTACCCAGAAGCTTGGCCAAGTTCCTCTAAAAGTTCACAGTAAATTTCACCTTTAGATGACAAAGTTTTCTCTTTGGAGAGTCATACAAACAATCTTATGTATGATTAGAACTTCACATTGCTCAGCTTTATGTAAAATTGATTTAAAGTTTCAAGTTCACTAAAATTTAAGTTTTAGTTTTCTCTACTCTTATCCAAACAGAAAAATAGTATTAATCTTATCAATAAACCTACATGTTCCTTGAATAATTTCTCCTGCATTTTGTTCTTGTTGAGAAAATAATGCCGTGCCCATTCGCCTGAAGTCAAACATTTGAAGGCTTTCTCCAAGTGTTCATCTTTCTTAAAACGTTCAATGACTTCCTTTAGTTCTTCTTGCCTTCCCTTAATAGGCCGAAATCTGAACAAAATCAAAACATTCACTTTAGTTATCTGCTATCATCCCTGGGCCACTGTTGCGAGTTCCTGAGATAAGAGATTAATAAACTAAAAACAGCCAGACTTAATAAAAGATAATCATCAATTATCCTGAGAATTATGCTCAAGTAATAGCGATCACCAGGAACTAGAACTTCTCTTTCTTCAAACTGTACTTTGATATTCTTATTTTGCTATTACCTCATTGAACTGATAATTGACCAGATGACTCAAACGAAAGCTGTCTGATTCAGGCTCATACTAGCCATATACTTTGGATGGTACAAAAGATCTAGAACAGAATGTGTCTAATTGAGAGTTAGAATGACAAGATTTTTTTTAAAACATGCAGAATTCAAGCCAGAAGAGTGCAAGGCAATGAGCTTCAGAGGGATGAAGCAAACAAAATCATGCCATAAACAACATTCTGTATGTGCACAGTTAGAAAAATCCCAAACCAACTAGTATCCCAAGAGGTCCCGAAATACACCCTGATGTTCTAACACCCATGTCAAATTAATCTTTGATAACTGCATTCAGAGAGCAAAGAGTTTTGCAAAAAGCACAACTCTAGCGGTGATACTGCTAAATTGGTGATTTCAAAGAAAAAACTGTCGGGGTAGAATTCTGAAAGGCTTCTATAATAAAACCAGCCATGCTTTCAGAATACTGTACAATCGTGGTCCAAAAAAGACTTCTGTTTGTAAAGCCCCTTATTCTAAAGCTGTGTTCTCTCAGTAAAACGTGTAACTTGCACCTTAATTTCAAAATTTCTTCTCATGTCAATTTCCTTTGGTTTATTTTCCCAAATAAAGTTCTTTTGTTTTGTTTTTGGACATTCCAGCAACAAAAAAGGAGCTAGACTGCTACTGAAATAAACTGTGAAGAAAAAACTATTAGTGGCTGAGGAGAAAATATATTTGAACTCCGAATCTTACTCCAACAATTAAAATTGCACGTCTTGCAAACCCCGAACACACTAACATGGAAGTAAGATCTGGCACAAACTCTAGCAAAGGAAGTATCCAAGCAGAATTTTTTTCCAGGTAAGCTATCATAAAGGTCTCCATCACATTTCAGTGAGATTTTAAGCCACAGTATCTCACCACAGATTCTTTATTAGGCGCTGTGTACACAGGTGGTGTGGAGGAAAATATGAGCAAAGACACAACCACTGCTCTTGAATGGAAAACCACTTTGGGACTAAGAGACACATACATGCATCCAATGGTTAAGCAAGGCATCGTTATGCTACTGCAAGTTAACAGGGCACAAACTACACGCTACAGCACTTTCAAGTATGGAAACCAACGGAGGTGTAAGGTCTATTTGAGAAGGGGTTTTGGATTTGACAGTGATGTGGGCAATGAGGAAAGTGGTGATTTCAGCTTTCTAAAGAAAAAGCAGATTATTACCATAGGCAGGAAAGAATCAAAAGGCAGCAGGCAAAGTGAGGGGAAGTCTAAGCAGAGGATCTTAATGAGGGCGGATTCAAAGAGTTGAACAAGGGCTGAGAGAGTCAGCTTGGCCAGCAACATTGAGGGAAAGTACTAGAACAAGGAAGAGGAAAGACGTGAGCCCCTGAGTGGGGGAAATGCTGTTTACTGGACAGGACCCATATCCACTCTAGAAATGCAAGCTGACTCTGCTAGGAACTAACTAGCCAGAGTGTCAATAAGCTGCTCACAACTATTAAGCAGAACTATGAGAAAGACTTCAGGCACATCCTAGAGAGATCATATGAATAAACGGACAATGCCCTACATTATTTTCCATTTCAATCAATTAGCATACCAGCCCTCACAGGCAGGTGAGTGCAAGTCCTTTAAACAATTCAGAAGGTCTTTAACTAAGCTGTCAGAATACGGTGTCAGAGAACCACCGTTAAAATGATCTAAAAAAACCACCTGCAGAATTGTGGAAACATCCATACTTCCACACAGAACACTAAACTACTTACTTGTAGCTACCACAAGCGATTTTGTCAAGAGTGGGTTTCTTAGAAAACCTAAACCCTCCGTGCCGCAATGCTACACTATGAAGTTCCCTGCACAGGAAGGACAGACAAGACGCCCCAGCAGCTGTCAGCTAAGGCACACCTCCTCTTCGAGCAAGACAGAATGTGAAATGGTGGGAAACAGATAACCCATGCTTTGTGGAGGAAACAGAAAAGCAACAGTTCACTTATAGAATGAATATGAGGACTCATCTATGATGTTAAGTGGCTACAAAGCACAGAAACAGCCAAGCCATCTTTCCAAGTTTAATGTGGAATCGACCCACGTTGACAATGTGTTTTAAAATAACCACATGGCTTGATGCATTAGAAAGCAAGCCAAAGTCAGGGCTAAATTCACCTAAAGCTCTTGAGAACATGTCAGAAAAATAAGCTGCAGACGTGGAATGGATGCTGCCTATTCCTGACAGGCCTTCTGTGTGCTCTCCACTTCCCGAAACACGTTCCTCCCTCTCTGAAAATGCCTGTCAGCTCTCCTTAGTTTTGCTTACTCTTTGTTCATGATGCCAAACAATTTATATGCTAAAACCAACACAAAATAACCAACCTGCGATTTAGTAATAGTCTGCCTTTGTTTCTGCTTTCCTGACTTCTACTGCTTCGAACACAAACAAAACCCCCGAAACTGCCCCTTGCTACTACTCACTGGCAAGAACCCCTATTTCACTTAAGATGTAATTTGCTGTCAGAACTTACTGTCTCAGTTGGCTGCTATAGGCGTGAAATGACAGTGAGGCAAAGGAAGAAATGGTTCTGGGCGCAGACAGGAAGGGGATGAGACAGTTGTTTTCGATAATCCTACAGAAGTACATCAAAATCACCTGGCTGACAGCTCAAGTCAAATCCCATTATAACAGATACTGCGGGGAGATAAAATTACTGAATAACATAAGACTGTTACAACTAACAGAGCCAGAGCAAAAAGGCACTGAAGACCCTGGAAAAAAGTGAAGTGTTTTTCTACTATTGAGGAGAAAAATACCCTTTGTCCTCTCCTTAACCACAATCATTCTAAACCTACCACGCAAACTGTACAAAGCTATCCTCACACCACGGTTCTTAAAGCTAGAAGAATATTTAGGTTATATGAAACAATGCTCCTGTTCCATAAATGAGGAAAACAAGGCCTAATGTAAGGGCTGTTAACGGAGGGACTATTATTACCCGGCCTTGTGCCCAGTCCTACGCTCTCGTGTACGACTCTGAGGGTCCTCTGGTGCTTCATGATCAGAATAGGATTTGACTGAGCACAGCACAGAGCCCAGCCAGAGACTGCGAAAGGGGTGGACACAAATATACACTTTTGAATTCAGTATCCGGGAAGTGGCAATTAGCGTGGCAGGGGAGGCAAGAGACAGGAATTTGGCATTTCCAAATCAGTATGTCCCTCCTTCCCTCTCTTAATACAAACTTTACAACTTTAAATAAACCAAACATTGTTCTCTTCCCACACCTCTGATCAATGGCTGGTATAAGAAATAACAAAAATATGTCACTTAAGTCATTTATTATTAAAAAGGGCAGAAAGAAACATGAATTCACACTCCCACACACCTGTTCCCCACTCTTTCCAGAGACTGACTTCCCAGGTTTTCTTGCTATTTGGTTTTTCTGTTTCCAAACCCAAGGGACCAGTGTGGCAATGAAGGGAAGTTGCGGATTTGTATTAGGTGTACTACTGTGCCCTTCCATTAGCATGTACACCCAAGAGCTGACTGGAGGGAGCGGGAAAGAGGAGGGGGACAGAAAAAAGGGAGCAGGGGAAGGAGAGAGGAAGAGAGAGAAAATGCTCAAATATTTAAGATATAAAATAAGAAGACGGTGAGGCAACACTGTGAACACATTTCCCCCTTTGAAGAAAGTTCAGCTGCACACGGACAGTTGGTAGATGCTGAGGAATCATGCTAGAACCACAGCTCTTCATTCCTTCTGGACCTGAAAGGAGACAATCCCCAGACACATACCTGGCTGAGTCCTGCAATCAGTGCTCAGCTAATCCCAGGGAGTGACTCCTGATCTTTTGATGAATGCTTTCTCTTAAAATTACCCTGTTATGGAGTACAAGTGGTTTTTTAAATACAGCTATTACTATGATCAAACTATTTTAAAAGGTTTGCAAAATGTTCTAAAAATCGTGTTTATGCTGACACCTCCAATTACTTAACACAAAAGAACATCATAAAGATTGAAACAGGTTAGCTGGTATCTTATTATTGTTTGTAATGCACTCTACCTACCTCACAGGGTTGTTGTGAGGAAAACTGTCAGATTTTGAAAAATGCCTTGAGCTCCTCGAAGGAAAGGCGCTATATAAATGCAAAAACAAACAACAACAATAAAAACTATTTGTATAAGTTGTATTTATAACTTCGAAACAGACTTACAATATTAGTTGTCCCACAAGTCCTTAAAACGCTGTGACACTCAAGAGCTTTGTGAAGCCGTGGGCAGACTCAGCATATAAACAAAGGCCAAGATGCCGAAAATCTCTTTCCCACACGACATCCTTTCCCCCTTGATCACATTAAGTTAGAAGGCCTAAAAATGTCTTTGTTTTCTAATCAAGCGCTTGATTTTAAAGAGACATTTAAAGTGATTTATAAATTTACACCCCATACTGGATATGAAAAATCAAATACATAAATAAGCAAAATTAAAATTAGATGGTTACAACAGTAGAAGGATGAGACAAGCCGAGTATAATTTGGATTAGAAAAATAGAGAAAAGTTCCAAAAATCCTGTGAGGACTCTTCCCATTTTTTCATCGTGTTATTTCCTGCTCAGCGTCCCCCACTCCCCAGGAGACGGAAACCTCCAAGTCGCGCCGCTTACAACAAGGGGCATCATGGAAGGCGTCCACCCCTGCTTTACACTATCACCTGTCCACGTGCTTTCTAAAAAATTAGAGACATTAAAAAAAAATCAGAGGCATAACTAGCAACTCTGTTCTCTGGTTAAAAGGAAGAATTTCATTTTCATAATGGACAGAAGTCAACTAAATCTAAATATTCCCCAATAAATTGAAATTACTACTTTTTTTATACCATTTCTAGATAGTCATGCTACAACTCTAACTTGTTTGTTTGTAAATGTAGGGATTTATCAAGATTAAAACATAAGCATTCATAACAGAGCTGGGGAAATTCTTAAGCTGTGAAGTATCTACTGTATCTGAACATGGTTTCTGACGGCACACCGTGAGAGGTAGAGGGAGGGGAAAAGGCATAAAACAGAGAAACTGAAAAAGGACAATCAAATTACAGATGTACAAACATGGGAACGAGGAGATCACTCTTACAAGTGACAGACAGCTTGGACAGTGAAGATCCAAGCTCCAGTCATGTCTTTCATACCCCAAAGAGAAGTCCATAAGCTTAATAATTTAAGAAACAATCAAAATTATTCTAATGCAGCACCCCTGATTTTCCTCATTTCCTATAAAATGTTATCTTTGAGAGTGACGTAAGTCAACATTCTGATAAATTCTTGCTCAAAAGGTGAAGAATCAGAAGACAGTTTTATTTTCAAGTTCACGAAGATTAAATGAACACGTACGCCTTTCACTAAGATTAACAAGCTTCATTAATAAAACTTCTGTGTATTCCCTAATGGTAGCTTACAAAAGCCTATTAAAAGACCTTTGAGGGGCACCTGGGTGGCTCAGTCAGTTAAGCGGCTGCCTTCGGCTCAGGTCATGATCCCAGGGTCCTGGGATTGAGCCCCGTGTCTGGCTCCCTGCTTGGCGGGGACCCTGCTTTTCCCTCTCCCTCTGCCTGCCACTCTGCTTACTTGTGCTCTCTCTCTCTCTGTGAAATAAATAAATAAAATCTTAAAAAAAAAAAAAAGACCTTTGAAATGGGAGCGCCTGGGTGGCTCAGTCAGTTAAGCGTCCGACTCAGGTCATGATCTCAGAGTCGTGGGACCGAGCCCCATGTCAGGCGCCATGCTCACTGGGGAGTCTACTTGAGGATTCTCTCTCTTCTCCCCCTCTGCCCCCCCACCCTACATGCACGCACTCTCAAATAAATAAATCTTTTTTTTAAAAAAAAAGGCCTTTGAAATGACACCTCTAGTAAAGGTGGACAGTGCTCGGGGACACAGCAGCATTGCCTGCTCAGCCACGCGGGCCCAAGGTGCTCTAGAAAGGGCAGAGCACAACCATCTCCACCACCTATGGCTACTCTAGGAACTCCAGGAGTAGAATTACATGTTGTACTGAAAAATACGAACAGATGTTTTCTTCTGAATGTTTAATGTGGTTTAACTAATTTAAGATCCTGCATTTTAATTTAGGGTTATCTGGATACAGTAGTGTCTTGAATTTTAATAATATTTGTGGAGTAACCCTGAAGTTTACATCTTAGGACTGCATGTTTTTATTTATTTTTTAAAAGATTTTATTTAGTTAGAGACAGAGCAAGAGCGTGTATGCGAGAGCACGGAAGGGAGGGGGGAGTGGGAGAGACTCTCAAGCAGATTCTGTGCTGAGTGCCGAGACCAAAGCGGGGCTCGATCCCACGACCCTGAGATCACAACCTGAGCTGAAACCAAGAGTCGGACACTCAACTGACTATGCCATGTGGGTGCCCCAGATTGCACATTTTTAAATGAAGCTAGGAAACTACTGATAAGGAACTTTTTATCCACTCATTATATCATAACAAAGCTCAGTAGGCCAGATGGCCTAGGACCTTGCTATTCTAAGTATAGTTGGCAGCTTGTTAGAAATGGAGCATCTCAGGCCCCAGCCCACAGCTACTGAATCAGAACCTACAACTGAACAAGACTCCCCAAGTGACTCACATGAAAACTAATTATGGGAAGCAGTTGTCAAGGAGGACTTTTATTTAAAAATATGAGTTATTTCCTATTGCAGGAGCCACTAACAGGTAACTGCTCATCTTTTGGAACAAAGAATGGCTGGGGGAGAGGGGACCGAATACACAGGAATTCTTTCCTAAACCACTGAAAATTTTATTGTAATTCTGATGCAATGCTTCCTAAGATGGCTTACATGCTTCCGTATTTCAGTATACAAGGCATAATGAACATGACCTTTCTTCTCTTGCTTGATGACTCCAGGTCATAATTATGGGCCTTTACAGTAATACCCTGAGTATCTCTAAGACTATTATGTGAAAGTGAGTCACATTTCTTAAATATTATCAGGATCTCCTAGGAGAACAGGTGCTAGCCTCACTGGGGAAAGAAGGGAAATGGACTTAATGCAGACCAGATTTTAATTGGATACTAGGGCATCCAGTCCTGCTGACTTTCCAGACAACAGTCATCCACCTGCCTACTTACAAAATTTAGGTATCTATCCTTCTGATGGCAGGGAGCTATTTAAATAAGTTCTCAAGTCCACATCAACTTGTCACTTCATTTTATAGCAAGAAAAGGTCTATGATGACAGAAAATCACATGAAAATACCAAAGGCTCGGGGTGCCTGGGTGGCTCAGTTGGTTAGACAGCTGCCTTAGGCTCAAGTCATGATCCCGGGGTCCTGGGGTTGAGCCCCACATCAGGCTCCCTGCTCAGCAGGGAGTCTGCCTCTCCCTCTCCCCCCTGCTCATTCCCTCTCTCTCTCATTCAAATAAATAAAATCTTAAAAAAAAAAAAGAAGAAAGAAAATACGAAAGGCTCATTTTTATCTGAATTACTTCTTTCTGGATTTAGAATATAATTGATACAAATGAATAACACTATCTCTTGTTTTAAATTCTAGCAAGGGACCGAATTAAAAGGGGAAAAAATGGCACAAGATTTCCTCTAGTCACCTTTACTCACCAATTCTTCCCTCTCCCCACTATTGGTGACTAGTCACCTGGTGATCAAGTCCCTCTAGGGCTGTCACTGGCCCTGGAGCTACAAACACCAGTGCAAGTGTGAGGGAGGTGGGAGGGATCAGGGCCCTAGAACTGGCTCGACATTCTCAGTCCCTGCTGTTACGCTCTTCCACCAGCCTTGAAAACCCTTTGCCACTCAAGTTAAGAGGTAAAGAAAAGTTGTGAAGTTCCGACTTAGTGTCTGGTGGCAATTATGAAATTATCTAATGGCCTTTTTTGAGGGAAAGATGATGTTTAAGAGAATGTAATAGATTTCAGAAGCAACGTAATACTATTTTATACAGGTGCCTTCTTAGCCCAATGGGCAGCGCTCAGTCTCATATTTTATACAGATGGCATGTGATACTCAATAAAGCACTTACGCATCTCTTTTCTTATCTGTGTACTGAACAGAAGCACATCTTTAAAAATACTCTTCCCATGATTAGCTGAATCTCAAAGGTTAAACATGATGGCAAAATTCTCTATATACAGTTGCAATTATTTAAAAGAAAAAAAGTCTACAATAAAATCATGAAAACAACCCTGATGTAACCTACTTTGAGCAGAAAAAAAATCATATACATTTTCAAGGTTTCACAAGATTTTTCTTTCAGCTAAGATAATTATCAGTAACATTTAAAATAAAATATGAGATGCTCCTCCAGCTTTATATTTTAATAGAAACAGCCTAAGATAAAATAAGAGCACAGAATTAAAACTGACAAGACCCTTGGAAGCTTTTGTTGCTTTTCTTGGCTCACATATAGAAAATCTTCTACAGCAAAGATCTTTCCTTTAATGTCATTTTAAATTCTGACTAAAAGTAAAATTAGCATCTCTTTTCTTAAATTCAACATCATCATCTGCTCCACTTCAGGATAAAGACTTACAATTACCTAGTATTCATTTTGTGTGTTTGAAAACCTAAATAGGGATCAAGAACCAAACTGGTCGCCAGATCATCATTCTCACAGAGTTCCTTGGCAGACATTCCAGAAGATGGTACATATCGACTCTGTCCTTCAAATCCCGAATTACCATTACCTACGAAAAGAAAAAGACAAGTAACTCAAATAGAAAACTACTTATATTCTAGTAATTCAGAATTGAAATTACTTGTTTCAATCTGTTTAATTAAGACCTGAGTACCTTTTGCATAAACAGAAAGCCAAATACAGTAAGTAATGGAGAGTATTTTGGTTAGTAGATGATGATATCAGGTTTCCCAAGAACAGGGTCTGACTAGGTGAGAGATCTTGGGCTCAAATGCCTTACTAGACCCTTGGAGGAAGATGAGAAACGGGATGAGTGGATGCTCATTACCATAGCAAGACAGCATCAGGAGGCGTTACAGATGGGGGGAGGGGGGAGGAAACAAGTAGAGCACAAGAAACGCTCTGCAGTGTGCCAGAAGGGTGGACCTCAAGGATCAAAAGGAGCCCTGAGGAGATCACTTCACCTGCCTGCTTTGGGGCAGGTGGATGAGAACCATCCCCACCCGGCAGGCAAAGGGTTCAGAAACTCAACTAGAAGAGTTAGGTGGCAGAAGCGGGGAAAGTAGAGAGAATGACAGGCTGATTTCCAGCCTGTATGAAACAAATTCTGAACGAATGGATAAGAACAGGGGAGTGCCGGAGATACCTAACTGAAGTAATTTGGTTTGGTGGGGAAGAAATACAGCGCAGAGAGAGGACAGGAAGGCCACACTCGTCCGGGTGAAGTTTCATCGGTGCTCAGCCATGTAGGTCAGCGATAGTCTTTTAATTATGCTAACAGTATAATCTTAAACCTCTCACAATTAAGGTGTGGAGGAATGAAAGACACAGTGAGAGGTAACCTTCTTTTCTACACTCTTTCAAAAAACAAATGAACACTAAACATCTAAGTCCCTATCAGAAGGTAAGTATATGTTTTGCAATCAAACCATTTGCACGTAGGTATGTAAAAGCTAACCAGGTTGGTATATTTTCTATTTTCTTTATTGAAATGTAATTCACAAACCATAGAATTCACCCATTTAAAGCGTACAGTTTAATTGTTTTTAACGTATTCACAGAACTGTGTAGCCATCACCACAATCAATTCTGGAACATTTTCATCACCCCCAAAACAAACCCCATACCCATGAGCAGTCACTATCGATTTTCCCTTTCCCCAGCCGTTGGCAACCACTAATCTACTCTCTATTTCTATGGATTTGCCTGATCTGGAAATTTTGTATCAATGAAGTCGACAATATGTGATCTTTTGTGATTGGTTTCTTTCAATTAGCATAATGTTTTCAGGGTTCATCCATGTGGTACCATACAGCAGTACTTTATTCCTTATTATGGCCAAATAATATTCCATTGTGTGGATAGATCACATTTTGTTAGTTCATTCATCAGTTGATGGACACTGGGCTGTTTCCACTTTGGCGCTATTATGAACAATGTTTCTATGAACATTCATGTAAAAGTTTCTGTGTATACCTATGTGTTCCATTCTCTTAGGCCCATATCTAGGAGTGGAAGTGCTAGGTCATATGGTAACTCTATGTTTAACCTTCTGAGAAACTGCCAGGCTGTTTTCCAAAGTGGCTGCACCATTTTACATTCCCACCAGCAGTGTATGATTGTTTCTAAATTCTCCACATCATCACCAACATCTGCTACTATCTGTCCCTTTAATTTGACACATTCTGGCGGCTGTGAAGTGGTAGCTTGTGGTTTTGATTTGCATTTCCCAGATGACTAATGATTTCAAGCATCTTTTCACGTACTGGCCATTTGTGTATCTTGGAGAAATGTCTATTCAGATTCCTTTGCTCATTTTGAATTGGAGTTTGTCTTTTACTGCTGACTTGTAAGAGTTCTTTGTATATTCTAAATACCAGTCCTTTACCAGATACATGATTTGAAAATGGTTTTTCTTTCCCTTCTGGGAGTTTTTCTTCATGGTCTTGATGTTTCCTTTAAAGCACAAAAGTCTGTAACTTTAATGAATTTCAATTTATCTTTTATTTTTCCTTTTGTTCCTTGTGCTTTTAGTGTCCTAAGAAACCACTGCCTAGTCCAAAGTCATGAAAATGTATGCTTATGTTCCCTAGGAATTTTATACTTAAGGTTTTGATCCATTTGAGTTAATGTCTCACACATACTACGAGGTCGGGTCCAACTTCATCCTTTTGCATGTGGATATCCAGTTTTCCAGCATCATTTATTGAAAGACCATTCTTTCCCCAATTAATTTTCTTGGAATGCTTGTCGAAAATCAACTGATTGCAAACATGAGGGTTCATTTCCAGACTCTCGAATCTATTCCATCGATGTATGTCTAGCCACATGCCAAAATAACACTGTGGTTTTGTATTAAGTTTTGAAAATGAGGAGTGCATGTGTGCCATCTTTGTTCTTTTTCAAGACTGTTTTGGCTACTCTGGGTCCCCTGAATTTCCATAAGAATTTTAGGACTGGCTTGCCAATTTCTCTGCAAAGGAGCCAATTGAGATTTTGATAGGGACTGTGTTCAATCTGTAGATCATTTGGGGAGTACTGCCATCGTAATATTAAGTCTTCTAATCAATGAACATGGGATGTCTTTCCACTTATTTAGGTCCTTTTAAATTTCTTTCAACAATGACTTGTAGTTTCCAGAGTGTAAGTTTTATACTTTTATTCTTTGCATATTGATCTATCCTGCTGAACTCATTTATCAGTTCCAATAGCTTTTAAGTGGATTCCTTTTTATATACACAATCATGTCATCTGCAAACAGATTATTTTACTTCTTCCTTTCCAATCTGGATGCCTTTTAGTTAATTTTCTTGCCTAACTGCTGTGGTTAGAACCTCTAGCACAAGGCTGAATAGAAGTGGTAAGAACAGATATTATTGTCTTGTTCCCGATCTCAAGGGAAAAGCATTTAATCTTTCACCATTAAATAGGACATCAGCTGTGGGTTTTTGTAGACGTCCTTTATCAGGTTGAAGAATTTCCTTCTATTCCTGGTTTGTCGAGTGTTTTTACCCTGTAAGGGTCTTGTTGAATTCTGTCAAATGCTTTTTCTGCATCTACTGGAATGATCCTAGGGTTTTTGTCCTTCATGTTATTGATGTGGTAGTATTACATTAATTTTCAGATACTAAGACAACTTTGCATTCCTGGGATAAATCCCACTTGCTTATGTTATAGAACCCTTCCCACTTCTTGCTGGATTTGCTTAGTATTTTAGTGAAGATTTTGTGTCCATATTTCTTAGAGATATTGGTCTGTAGTTCTTTGGGTATTTTTTGCTTGTGATATCTTTGGTTTTGGTGGCATAATAATAGTGGTCTCATTGAATGAGGAAGTGCTCCCTTACCTTCTATTTTTTGGAACAGTGTGTAAAGAATTGGTGTTAATTCTTCTTTAAATATCTGCCAGTATTCACCAACAAAGCCATCCAGGCCTGAGATTTTCTTAGCAGTGTTTTTAAAAAATTACTGATTCAACCTCTTTACTCGTTACGGTTTATTCAGATGTTGTATTTCTTCTTGAATCAGTTTTGGTAGTTTGTTCTTTCTACGAATTTATTTAATCTAAGTTATCTAATGTATTGGTATCCAGGTGTTCACAATATTGAGTTGTAACTTTTTTTTTTTTTTTTACTTCTGTGAGGCAGTAGTAATGTCCCCTCTTTCATCTTGAGGCTTCTCTTTTTCTTGGTTAGTCTTGGGTAAAGGTTTGCCAATTTTGTTGATTTTTTTTTTTTCAAAGAGTCATCTTTTAGCTTTGCTGATTTTCTGTTGTCCTTCTACTTCTCTATTTGTAAATTTCCACTCTATTATTTCCTTCTGCTTGCTTTGGGTTTAGTTTTCTCTGCTTTTTCTGGTGTTTTAAAGTAAGAAGTTAGGTTACTGATGAAGAGTGATCTTTCTTCTTTTTTAATACAGTTGTTCACAACTATAAATTTTCCTCTAAGCACTGCTTTAGCTGCATCCTGTAAGTTTTAGTATGTTGTATCCTCATTTTCAATCATCTTGAAGTACTTTCTCATTTCTCTTTGGACTTCCTCAACTCATTGGTTATTTAGGAGTGTGTTGTTTAATTTACACATATTTGTGATTTTCTCAAATTTCTGTTATTCACTTCTAATTTTACTCCATTGTAACCAGAGAACATATACACTGTATGATTCCAATCCTTTAACATTTATTGAGGCTTGTTGCACGGCCTAGCCTATGGTCTACCCTGAAGGATATTCCATGTGCACCTAAGAAGAATGTGCATTCTGTTGTCATTGGGTGGTCCTTTATACAGATGTCCATCAGGAAGAACTAGTTTAGAGTACTCTTTCTTTCTTCCCCGTTGATCTTTTGCATAGTTGTTCAATTCATTATTGAAAGTGGGAAACTGAAGTCTCCAAATTACTGTTGAGTTGTCTATTTCTCCCTTTAGTTTTGTCCATTTCTGTATCACGTACTTTGAGGCTCTGCTGTTAGGTGAAGTCACTGTAGTTATTGAGGATGGAGCACAACTTTGTTTTGCTTCATCGTTGGCTCTCACTTTGTACCATTCTTGTCTAGTGACATTCAATGTGACGCTGTCCATCTTCACACTCGCTGGATTTTCCCAGCCTGTCCTCAGAATCGGTCTACTCTTGGCAAATTGTAGCACATGTAACGATCATTTTCTACATTATTATGTACCTCCAACAATTAAACTAATTAAGACCTTTTGCTCTATCATGCACAAAAGGAGGCCAACAGCCATTTGAAAAAACAAACAAACAAAAACAACCAAAAAAAAGTTGCCTAATTTACTGACCAGAGCCAATACCACCTGCTACGGTCACTAATTTCTCATTTCCTTCAGGTTCCCATCACATGCTCCGGGGTGAGCAGGTGTCCGTGAGGAGGAGAATCTATTCAGTCTTGGGCTCTCTAACTCCTATCTCAAGCAGGGCTTTCTGCCTAGTTTTTTACAGAAACAGTGACCTGTGCTGATATGGAAATGTTAAGCGCCCTGGGCCCAATAAACTGCATGAACCTCTAAACAGTAGGAAGATAATCAGTTGGAACTGGTGCAATCTATGTGAAACTGCTGCAAGTCTTAGGAAAATCCAACTCTACTCAGGGCAGGGAAACCGCAACATAAACTAAAACTATTCTGTAGGGGGGCTACATTAACCTCAGGAGAAGCAAGAACTTAGAAAGCTATCCTCCTCAACATGGCCGTACGCGGTTGGATATCTTCATGTAGCTGCCTACTTAGGTTCACACTTACCCTGGGGCACTTTCCTGCTCTCAAAAGAACTACTTCCTGAACTCTTAACAGTAGCCTCCTTCTCACCAAGAGGTAGCAAGGTAAAAAAGTAACTCATTATCACCAGTGCTCCAGTGTCAGGATAAATGACTGTTCACCCCGTAAAAATAGGGCAACAATTTGGGAAGCTGCCCTAAATTCCACTTCTCCTGTAGAGATGACTTGATTATTCATGTTGCTAAGTTTTCAAAGAAAGACATACTTATACTTACATCAGATGTAAAAAATATGATTTGAACTTATAGGAAATCCAGTGGCAGCACTTTAATATTTTTTTATAGAACAGATTAAGCACTCAGGTATACATTCTACAAAATATAACTTAGGTCATGGATATAAGGGCATAATTATAGTTATCATATTAAGCATTAAACTAGAGGTATGCACATCAGATGAGAATAAGAACTGTTATAACTTTGAAAGGGTAAAAAAAACCCCAGTTATCTGTGAGAACATGAACAAGTGTTCTGAAAACAACAGAGACAGAATATATGTTACAAGCCGCAAAGAATTACCGGCCAGATCACAATGAAAAGGACAGTTGCACTGTGTACATACATCTGCTTGACCTCCTCTCAACTGCGTGTTTGCCAGCCTTCGTGGCCTCCTTCCCCGTGTGCTGCAATTTTGATGGACTCTGCTGATGGTCATTAGACAACTTGCCTCCACTCCTCCTGCCATTCACCACCATGTTCTTGGATTCTCCCAACCACTTCATGCCCACAGACCGCCTGACCCAGGTGCATTGAGTCGCTCTCTTCAGATAGCTCAGAGAATAATCCCAACGTTCTCTCCTGACAGAAACAAAATATAGAAAACAAAACCGGGAGGTAAATACATAAAAGACCATACTACCCGGACCCTTGAGAAAGATATAAAGTATTAACTCTTTGGTGCTGGGAGCGTGGAGGAGCAGCAGGGCCACAAGGAGGGAAGAATGGGAGCAGCCAAGGCCCAGCCGCCGCCGTGGGCACCCCACCAAGCACACCAAGTCCGTGCAGAGCAGATCCAAGGTGTGCCACAGTGCTGCTCAAGGTCTCCAAGGACAAGCGCACCCTCAAGCTCACTGAGGAAAAGGTGGGGCCACACATCTGTGCCAAGAGGAAAAGACAGGAGCTGAGCGACTCCCTGGCAGCCATGAGGAAGGTGGCAGCCAAGGACCGAACTCCACCCCTCTGTATGTCATAAAGCCTTTTTTTGGTGGGGGAGGTAATTTAGTAACTAACATTTCCACTCTTTAAAGACCACTTGGTGCCCCAAGCCATCCAGTGTCATGCTGAGGTCTCCAGCACCCCCAGACTCTGAGGGGAGCTCACTCTGCCGTGCACATTGCTTGTGCTGTGCATAGAGACTGGTAAATAGTAAATGCTCCATAAGTACTTACCTTTCAGTTACCAGTAAGATTCATTCTGCACCTTGTTATGTTGGCATTTAGGTACACCTCAACAATCTGCTCAAATGACATGTTTTGGTAACAGCACATTAACTGTGAGTAAACTACCAGGAAGTTCTCTCTTCTGTTATGAGGAAAGCTTAAGAAAAAGTATCTAAGTTAAGCTTTGTCCACAACAGCTTTGTCTTTTGTTGTTAATTTAAAGTCAACGGTCAAGGTTCTTCAGAGACTGATACTCAAATATCAAAGTATTGCCCATCATGAAATGTCTGCCTTTACAACAGCAACGAAAACTGAGAAATTACATTTACCAATACAGAGCTATCCTTCACCGTCTGAATTTTAATTAGCTGAATTTGGGAACTGAATGATTTGGATAGTGAGGGATGCTTGTAATTTATAAGGACCTTTGCAAGTAAGGGTATAACAGGTTACATTTTGCTGGTAATGGAACGAGAATAGGGATGTCCATGGCATCACCTCATTATGGAATTACGCTTTATTATAAATCAGACTAAAAGAGTTTCAGGATAAGAAAGTGCAAACACACAGAACTTCAGAGCTAAAGGGGCTTTAAGACCCTAGTACAGCTCTTTCGATTTGCAGATGGAACCACCGCCACAGAGGCTGAGAGGTCCCATGGCCCAGGCCACACCATCGGGCTGCGGCAGAATGAGGAGAACCCAGCACTGCTGCCTGAGGCTTTCTCACTACCCCATACAAAAGCCAATTTCCCTTATTTTTTAAAAAACACAAATGATACATTACTTTGAAGTACTTCTAGAAATGTACACCTGGTCATAACTCTAATGATACCCGACAAAAATACAAAACATTAATTTTTTAAAAATCCTTATTTATTTTAGAGATGCGTGCACATGTGCAAGTCGGGGGAAGGACAGAGGGGGAGAGAGAGGTTCCAAAGCAGACTCCCTGCTGAGCGCAGAGCCCGACGCGGGGCTCATTCCCACGATCCTGAGATTAGGACCTGAGCCAAAACCAAGAGTAGACGCTTAACCGGCTAAGCCACCCAGGCGCCCCGCAACTACTTTCTGTATTGTTTTAAACCGTAAAATACTGAAGTTATAACCTGATCTCTTCAAGTCCTCTTCTTTCTCAAGGTGCCTCTGCTGTTAAAGGCAGTGAGTGAAGCCCCCGCCCGCGCAAAGACATGGCAGGAATCACGGCCACTATGGACAGCAACCCCCCTACCACCTGCCCTTCTGCCTTCTGCTTCACGCCCTAGTTCTGCACCTTCAGAGGAAAAGAACAAGAAGGAGAAGGTAAAGTGCTTTTGGTCCTTTAGGAAGTCCATCTCAAGAATGCCCTCCTAGAACACACAGTTTATGGAGCATGACTGAAGAATGTGTTTTCAGGACTCAGGAGTCCTAATACCCTTCAACGGTGAGACATAAAATAGAACCACATGGAACAGAAAAGAGCAATTAAGAGAGAATTAAGAGAGAAAAGAAATAGCAAGTTATCTCTCCACAGAGAATCCGGAATCCCAACCCCGATTCTCACTCAGAGATAAAAAGCAGAAAACCCGGGATGAAGCCCAGCAACTTGCCCTTAGTAAAGCCCCCCACATGGTTCTGAAGTAAACTCCAGTGTGAGAACTATTGTTCTCAGTTACTTACTCATTCACTTGATCATTTGTTGGGGCAAAGAACAGATGCCAAAATTTTAATCTGAGGAAATTATACCTATTGACCCAGTTTTTTCCCTGAGAATTAGGAAAGTTCACCAATAAATCATTTGAGTAGCACACTTCAGCTCAGTTCATGGAACAGAGACTGAGATCCACTCTAACTTATAATTTCAACTAAATTGAAGATTAATGATCGATCCAAACTGGAGCAAACTCATAACCTTTAGTCTCATTTATACTGCAATCAACTGATATTATTTTGTTTGAACTTAAGTACTAAGGTATCACTCTGTCAATAAGAGAAAGTGAAAGCTGAATTTCACTAGTATGAATACACTGCACATGTCTGGATATATTCTAACGGAGGCTCCAATACTCTCCACTTGTCCAGATAACAACGGTTGTCATCGAGACAAAAAACTTTACTTATGTTCACAAATGAATTATTTTGTAAAACCAGTTCTAGTGAAACCATCAGAAATTTGGGAGCTACTTATGAATTTCTAGCTCAAGGGGCGCCTGGGTGGCTCAGTCGGTTAACGGTCTGCCTTCGGCTCGGGTCATGATCCTGGGGTCTTGGGATCGAGCCCCGCGTCGGGCTCCCTGCTCAGCGGGGAGCCTGCTTCTCCCTCTCTCTCTGCCCCTCCTCCTGCTCGTACTCGCTCTCTCAAACAAATAAAATCTTAAAAAAATAATAAATTTCGGGGCGCCTGGGTGGCTCAGTTGGTTAAGCGACTGCCTTCGGCTCAGGTCATGATCCCGGAGTCCCGGGATCGAGTCCCACGTCAGGCTCCCTGCTCAGCAGGGAGTCTCCTTCTCCCTCTGACCCTCCTCCCTCTCATGCTCTCTGTCTCTCATTCTCTCTCTCGCAAATAAATAAAATCTTTAAAAAAAAAAAAATTTCTAGCTCAAAACGAATATACACTCTACTAATTCTCTGGTCATTGATTGTTCTGCCCTCCTGAGTGTGGAATCTGTTCTTGTTGGCATGGTTTTCCTGTAAGACCACAAGCTGAAAGAGTACTTACATATTAAAGGTGGAGATGGAATTTCAAAGGCTAACACAGCTGATACTGCAGTAGACTGTGGAGAAACAGAAGTTGAGGACACTGGGTGGCTAGCAAAGCCTAAAGGTTTCACAGCTCCCACGGAGGTCCCACTCCCAACAAAAGCAAAGTGCCGTCTCTCTGGCCTGGGACACAGATGGCTCACACAGAAACACCACCATGGTCTTGGCTTGGTTGACAGTGTCTGAGCTAACTGGCCACTAACTATATTTAGAAGTAAAAATTACCTGCAATTTATCCCAAAATTGGAAGAAAAAAATTTTAAGAAAGGAGTACTGGCCACTCCTTAAATGGCGTAACAACTACAAATCTTTCTGTTAGGATTTCCCAATACAGTTGACCCTTGAACAACATGGGTTTGAACGGTGAGCGTCCACTTCTTTGTAGGAAAAAAAAAAAAATTTTTTTTTTCTTTAAGATCTTATTTGTTTATTTGACAGAGAGAGAGAGACAGCGAGAGAGGGAACACAAGCAGGCGGAGTGGGAGAGAGAGAAGCAGGCTTCTGGCCGAGCAGGGAGCCTGATGCTGGGCTCGATCCCAGGACCCCGGGATCATGACCTGAGCCCGAGGCAGATGCTTAACGGCTGAGCCATCCAGGTGCTCCGAATTTTTTTTTAATACAGTACAGCACTATAGACGTATTTTCTCTTCCTTATGATTTTCTCAATAACATCTTCTGTAGCTTTACATTATTGTAAGAATACAGTGTATAATACATGTAACATACAAAATTTGTGTTAACCACTTATTTTGTCTCAAAGGCTTCTGGTCAACAGTAGGCTAATAGTTAAGTTTCTAAGGAGTCCAAAGTTGTTTGTAGAATTTTGACTGCACGGGGGGGTTCAAGGGTGTGTAAAAATATCAGGAAAATTATTAGACATCTACTATATTCCTGTTCCAGGCCCTGAGGATACAGCAAAAAACAAAAACAGGTTTCTGCCCTCATATGTGCTTATATTCTAATGAAGAAATCTCTAGGAAATAACAAGTTAACACATCAACGCCAGCACCTTGGAGAAAATAAAGCAGTCTGTAAGTAGCAGGGAGTGCTTCAGGTGGTGCAAGGTGGGGGGGGATGCCAGGCAGCAATGGGGAGCATGCACCAGCAAAGGGCAAGCACAAACCTGGGGGAGAAAAGCAGCAGGTGTGCAGAGGACCAGCATGGTGCCTAGTGTGGCTGTGGTGGGGTGAGTGGGGCAGGGGCAGAAGGGAGGTCAGATGGGCCGCTGGAACATGTAACAGAGGGCCTCCAAGCCACTGCTGAGACTTGGGCATGAACTCTCAGGGAGATGGAAAGCAGGAATGACGTGGTTCAAGTTACCATTTTAAAGGCCCACACTTAGCTGCTTGCTACGTGGAGAAAAGCTCACAAATAAATGCTTTTAAAAAAAGCAAATTTAATGCCACTACAAGTAACTGGGGGACATGAGAGAAAACACCAGTTAAGAGGCTACTGCAATGAACCAGAGGATACTGGGTGGGGGCTTGGAGCAGCACAGGTGGTGAGAAGTAACTGGTTTCGAGATCTCTTCTGAAGGTTCGAGGATAGGTTCGAGGATAGACAGGATCTGTGAAAGAAAGAGGACTCTAATATGCCTCCGAACTGAAGGACACTTTTTACAGAGGTGGCAAAGACCACAGGAAGCTCAGGTTTTGGCAGGGGTTGGGGCACAGGAGTTTGGTTTCGGTCATGTGTGAGATGCCCAGCAGAGACCAAGCAGAGACGCCGAATGGGCCTCGGGATACAAGGGCCTGGAGTACCGGTCAGGCTGGTCAGAGCACTAATGGGACAGGAAATCACCTGGGGGGTGAGTATAGATGAAAGAAGTCTAAGGACAGAGGGGGCAGCCCTCAAGACGAGGAGCTAGCAGCAAAGGATACTGAAAGGGGCAACTAGGGAGGGAGGGAGGAGAAGCAAGAGCAAACAAGGGATCAGTGCTTCAGGAAGGAGTGACCCACTCGGGCACAGGCTGCAGATGCTCACAAGGCAAAGCTCTCTCTCAGGAACTGAGACTCACGGACAGGATGGGCCACTGACGATCTGAGAGCCCCTCTCAGAAACGACAGAGAACTTCTAAAATGGACGTGAGTCTTGAAACATGGGCTTGTGGGGAAAGAGTCAGATGGCAGAGGGGAACGTAAGGAATAACGAACAGAAAGAGTCCTAAGTTCTAGGTCATTTGTTTCAAATGAGAGGAGAAAATTGCACATGACTGAAGGACACATGTAAATTAAACTCAGAGAATGGGATGATGGGAAGGGGTTAATTTGAGAATAGCAGTTTATAAGGATTTTTCTTTAAAAAAAAAAAAATTAAGTTTTTTTCTGGGGAACGGAGCCCCACATCAGGCTCCCTGCTCCGTGGAGAGCCTGCTTCTCCCTCTCCCTCTGCCACTCCCCGTGCTTGGGCCCTCTTGCTTGCTCTCTTTCTCAAATAAAATAAATAAAATCTTAAAAAAAAAAGTTTTTAAAAGAACAGGGTAGTTTTCTATTGGAGTGAGAAAGACCATCTGAGTGTAACAGGGCGGAGTTCCTGAGAGCACTGTGCAAGGCTCTGCTCCCTCTATTTTTATGGGTGTTCACAAGAATGATGCAAGCGGGCTCTAAGGAAACACAGTTGTGCCAATGTTCCGGGCCACGCAGCACCAGGCCCCCGAGGCTCACCGGTCTGAAGTCAACAGGAAAGGGGGATTCACCTCACGGGGCTTCACTGGGCCAACACGTGGGGACGGAAGCACCTACTTCAGATTCTACTATCAAACATAAATTGTATTTATTTTTTAAAAGATTTTATTTATTCACTTGAGACACAGAGATACAGACAGAGCGTGCATGAGCAGGAAGAGAGGCAGAGGGAGAGGGAGAAGCAGGCTGCCCACCGAGCAGAGAGCCCGATGCGGGGCTCGATCCCAGGACCCCGGGATCAAGACACGAGCTGAAGGCAGACGCTTAACCATCTGAGCCACCCAGGTGCCCCTTAAACATAAGTTTTGAAAAAGGCAGGCAATTCGTGATAATACAAAATGTATTTGAAAACCGCTAAACTAAGAGTTGCACTTAAAGAGGAA